TCCTTCCCAATATCCCGCCTATCCCTGCCCTCTTGTTGAAGCACGCCATTTCCTTTGTCCTATCGACTTTTCCGAAGTGAATTCCCCTCTCTGGCTCACTTAGATCCCATTTAGTCACCAGAGAGATTTATTAGGAAATTTATTTATCAGGAGTTATCAGGGAAAAACTCACAGGCTTGGTTTCCAGAAAATATTTCCAGGCTTTTGAGGAAAAATCCTCATCTCCAAAAAGTATATCAGATCTGTGAGAAGAATTTTTATTGCCTTCATTAAAACCATTGCAGGAATGTTTTGGAAGCAATTCCAATCCTTCCCTTGATCCACCAAGCCTGAGCTGGACTGGGAAAACTCGTTCCACCAGTTGAGATTTGCCAAGTGGAGGAATCTCCACATTCCCTGTGTTGCTCACATCAAAAAATTTGCCTGTTATTCCCGCTTTTGTGGGTTTTCCTATTAATCCATGATTTCTGGTGGGCTTCTCTGGGAAGAAATTGCACATTTCTCACTGGGAATGGCTGTCCCTGGGGAGTTTTTTGGCTCTTCCTACCCCAAATCCATGCTCGGTGCCTGGGATTTGATAGCAGGGCTCGCTAACAGCAAATTATCTTCCCTGGCGATCAAGTACGAAACGCTCGGAGCGATCGAAATTAATGGATGGGATGGGATGAAATTAATGGGATGGGATGAAGGTCAGGAGGATTCAGGTGCAGACTCAGCTCTTGCTTAACTATTTTAGGCCACGCTTAAGTGGGTTGACACCGTGACCCTGCGCTTTGAGGCGTTGGGTGTTGGTGGAAATTCAACTCCAGGCTTTGATTTGTCGCGGTGGCCGCTCTCGCATTTCCTTCTGGAATTCCAATCTTTGAGATTGAGAGCGGAATTTTAGGCAATTCTTTACAATTTGGAGCAGAATTTTTAGCATTCCGCCCCTCTGATGGAATTCCCGCCTGGAATTCGGCATCCAGCTCTGGGGTCCGATATCAGGAGGATGTGGAGCTGCTGGAGCAGATCCAGAGGTCATGGAGTCACTCCAAAGGCTGGACCCAGGCTGGGAGAGCTGGGAATGTCCAGCCTGGAGAAGAGAAGGATCCAGGGAAATCTCAGAGCCCCTTCCAGTGCCTGAAGGGGCTCCAGGAAAGCTGGAGAGGGAATTTGGACAAGGGATAGAGGGAATGGGGAGAACACAAGGAATGGCTTCCCACTGCCAGAGGGATAGATGGGATATTGGGAAGGAATTCTTCTCTGTGAGAGTGGGAATTCCACTGGAATAGAATTCCCAGAGAAGCTGGGAAGTGTCCCTGGAAGTGCCCAAGGCCAGAACAAAAACCCTGGGCCAGACCCCCCCAAACCCTGCAAAAATCCAGTTCTTTTTGCGGGATTTTTGCAGGATTTTTGCGGAGTTTAATCGAGACATTTTCCCAAGCAACGTTCTCCCATCTTCAATCCAGCTGACAAATCCCGAATTCCCTGACATCCCTGTAATTAGCTGCAAACAGCTGACTTGGAGCTGGACAAAAACCTGCTAAATTTGCCGCGTTCTGTGCCGTTATTTTGAGTTATTCATCTCGAAGGACCGTCCTTCACCCCGGAAGCTCAAGGCGCCAAAAAAGATTCCACACTCCGGGAGAAGCAGGATCAGCACTCGGCAATTTCCTGGCTTTTTATCCCGGCTCTCCATCCACAGGATCCAAATCTCTCCCTTTTTGTTGCTCCTGAGCGCTGCGGGATGAATTTCCTGGAGGAATTTGGCTTCTCAGGAGGGATTTGAGTGCAAGGAGCCAAATTCTCCTGGGAAAAGAGCAGATTCCTGTTTATCCCAGTCCCTCTGTTCCCACTGGGAATTACTGGAGGTGCTGCATCGTTTCCGTGACCTATTTGCATTCCCAAAGCTGTGGCTCGGTATTAGATTTTATGGGATTAGTGATTGTCCCTCATCTCGTTTTTATGGATAACTGGGATGAGGTTATGTCATTACCACCCCCCCTTTCTGTGTGGATGAAGAGAGGGATGTGGTAGGATCATGGAATTGTGGAATTTGGGTTGGAAGGGACGTAAAGGATCATGGAATTCCAACCCCCAATGTTGCACTATCCCAGGTTGCTCCAAACTCGCCTTGGACACTTCCAAAGATGGGGCAGCTGCACATTCTCTGGGAATTCCATCCCAGCCCCTCAAAGGGAAGAATTCCATCCCAATATCCCGTCTGTCCCTGCCCTCTGGCAGTGAAAAGCCATTCCCTGTGTCCGGTCCCTCCATTCCTCATCCTAAGTCCCTCTCCAGCTCTCCTGGAACCCCTTCAAGCACTGGAAGGGGCTCTGAGGTTTCCTTGGATCCTTCTCTTCTCCAGGATGGGAAAGAATCCCATTCCATTCCACCCCATCCTATCCCAGTCTTTTTTCCTCCTGCTTCCTCTCAGTGTTTTAGGAATGACCAAAAAGGAGCAAATTCCAGGTATTTTCCATCCCCATTCCTTTTAAGCCTCTCCTTTTATTTATTTTTTTTCCGTCTATTTTTTGTGTCTCCTGATAAATTTCCATCCTGATTTTCCTGCTGGTTGCCCTTTCCTCAGGATTCCTCTCCTCATCCCCAAACCTCAGTTTGGGAGCTGTCAAAACCCAGTGTAAAATTCCCTATTTTGGCAAATTGATGGAGGGAATCTGGATTACAAATTCCAGGGAAAAATGTGGATCAGGGCCTTCCAAACCCTCTGGTGGTCTCTTAATGACCTTGCGGAATTCCCGCCTCTCCAGCTCCTCCTGTTTGGATTCTCTTAAATCATTAAAAAGAAATAAAAAGTAAAAAAAATTAAAATAAAATAAAGAGAAGAGCACAAGCTCTCCACATTCCTGCCAAGTAGGTCAGGCTTTTCCCAGTTGGATGGTTGGGGAAGCGGAGACATTATTCGGAGTGACTTTTTCCAAGGTTTTTTTTAATGAGTTGAAGACAACTGGAACCACAAAAGCGTTTTCAAGTGTTGCTCCAAGACTGGAATTTTAGGGATAATAAAACCATCCCAATTAATCAGGGGCCAGATTAAGCTGCAGGATTGGGACAACACGGCCTGAAAGAAGGGAAGAGAAAAATGGGACAGAGATCCCTCCGGGCATTTTAAGCTGTGGAAAATGCCACCGCAAGCTTTTCCCAGAGGAAAAGCTGGAATGGTTGAGCTGCCGCTGTTGGATTGGGGGTTTTTAATGCCTAGAAATACAGCAAGGAAGGAATGTCTGGACATGGAATCTCCAGGATATGGAATATCAGTGCGGTGTCACCACCTCTGTCAGATGAGGTTGGGAACATCCAACCTGGAGAAGGGGAGAGACCTTGGAGCTCCTTCCGATGCCTGAAGGGCCTCCAGGAGAGCTGGAGAGGGATTTGGGATGGAGGGACAGGGCACAGGGAATGGCTTCCCACTGGGAAAGGGGAGATTTGGGATAAGGGATACTGGGGAGGAATTCTTCCCCGTGAGGGTGGTGCGGCCCTGGAATGGAATTCCCAGAGGATCTGTGGCTGCTCCATCCCTGGAAGTGTCCAAGGCGAGGTTGGACGGGGCTTGGAGCAACCTGGGATCTTGGAAGATGTCCCTGCCCTGGAGAACAAGCGGATCTTGAAGGTCCCTTCCCACCCAAACCATTCCATGGTTCTGTGACCAAATTTAATCCAGGATTCCGGATTAATAAACTGATTTATTAATTTCTTAATTGCTCTGCTTTCCAGAGCAATTCTTCTGGAATTGTGCATGGATAATCATGGAATGGTTTGGGTGGGAATGGACCTTAAAGCCCATCCAATTCCACCCTTTTCCATGGGCAGGGACACCTTCCACTATCCCAGGTCACTCCAAGCCCTGTCCAGCCTGGCCTTGGACACTTCCAGGGATCCAGGGGCAGCCACAGCTTCTCTGGGAATTCCATCCCAGCACTTCCCCACCCTCACCAAACACATTTTCCTTCTGTCTCCTCAGAATCTTCCCTTTTTCTTAGTATAAATCCATAAATCTGGTGTCTAATCCAGGCCCGTATCAACTCCCTGGAATTTCTCTGCCTGGAAGGAATAAAAAAAAAAGCCTCTTTCAGGAAATAATTCATTTATGCCACGGCTTCTTCCAGCTGAGAGAATCCTTAAACTCCCAATCCCTCCCCTGCCGTAATTTTAATTTCGTATTAAACCACTCTGGATAAATTGTCGCTCCGAAAATTTTTTAGGCAGAAAGACACATCGGGAAGAAGAATACGGAGCATTAAAAATGGATTACATGGTGTCACTTCTGGACTCCTTGCCTGAGCTATTAAATATTTAGGATTTGAATCCCAGATTTGATCTTGATTTCTCCACGGCTCTGAGGCTTTCCAGGTCTTTTCCAAACTGCTTTTTCCTGGGGAAAACGGGATTTTACCTTGTGTGGAGTTCACCTTGTGGCTTGGCAGGGGAATTTCTGCTTGTCTAAAATCTTTTTTTCCCAATTTTTTAAATTTTTGAGCCTTTTCTCCATTGCCTTCCCCAGCCATCTGCTGCAGCTGCGAGTTCAGAACCAAAGTGCAGCAAGGTCAAATTTCCCTTTTTTTTTTTTCCCCTTTTATTTTTTTTTTTCCTGAAAAAAGGCAGATCTGATGTTGGCCTGGTCTTAAACATCAGGATTAGGGAATAACTCCTGGTTGAAGTGGGAAGATTGGAAACTTTCTGAGGGGGGATAAAAAAAGGGAACAAAACGAGAAAACCCCAAATAACACCACAAAAAAAAAAAAAATCAACGCCCTGTTTCCCATCTCCCAACTAATTAAACTCTTCTGAAAAAAAAAAGCCGGAAAAATATCTTCTCTGTGGTTCCTTTCTGTTGCAAAATCCCGGGGGAGGCCGGATCGGGGAGGGCAGCGCCGTCACCCACACGGCTCCGGAGGGGAGGGCTCTCTGCCAGGCCCTCTGGAGACTCCGTCTCCTCGGGAAAGGCGTGCGGAGGCTCGCTCGCGGATTTGGGAATCGCCCCCCAAATTAGACCCTTTGGGGTGGATGCGGCGTCCGCGGAGAGAGGAGGGAGAAGGCGGCCCCGGAGTGTCCTGAGGAGCCCCGGAGGGATGGTGGGAGATGGCAGATGAAGGAATGATGGGATCTCTCCGTGGAAGGAGGTGGGCGTCGGGCTCGGCGGCACCGGGAGCGGGTTTGGCGCGGTTGTTTTTGGCGGATTTTGGGATTTTCTCCCGCTTCCCTGGGCTGGGTTACGCTTCGGGAGGAGAAAACTCGGGTAATAAAAGGAGGAAGGGTGGAATTGTTGAGTGGTTTGGGTTGGAAGGGAGTTAAAAACTCATTAAATTCCATCCCCCTGCCACTTCCCAACCTTCCAAAATCCCACGTTGCTCCAAGCCTCATCCAAACTGGCCTTGAACACTTCCAGGGATGAATTCCCTGGGAATCACATTCCAGGGCTTTCCCACTCTCCCAGGGAAGAATTTCCTCTCTAATTTCCCACTCAAACCCGTCTTCCCGGGCTTCACACTGTCCCAAAAGCTCCTTGGTGCCACCCTGCAGGTGTGTGGGGCTGTAATTCCCAAACTTCCCTCTTTGAAGCTGGGATCAGCCTCAGGGAGAGCGGGAATGACGGAAGGAGGGGACATCCAGAGTCCCTTTTCCTGGGCAGGTGGAACAGTTTTGACAGTGGGGGCTCCTGGGCCGAGCTTCGCCTCCATCCTGAAATTCCTTCAGAGCACAATTTTCCTGCTGTTTTTGGTGCTGATTGTCCATTTTCCATGATTTTTTTCCCCCGGTGTTTTGATTAGGATCGCGGTTCAAGAGAATTGGTGCTTAAAGCCAGGCAGGAGAACGTCAAATATTCCCTCGTATTTAATGCTTCCCGTTAAACCCTCGCGCTCGCCTGGTTAGCTCCCGAATACACCCAGGACTGACGGATTTTGGGAATGGTTAAGGATTACTGTGAGCAAAACACTCCCTGGAAAAGGGACAGCTTTATCCAAGCCCGTTTCCATGCAGAATGATGATGGAAAAGGGCTTGGAGAAACACTGAAGGCTCTGTTCCCATCCCGGCGGATGCGGTCAAGGGCCGCGATCCGTACGGAATTATCCTGGAGGCGACGGGGTCCTCTGGAAAAGGATACAAAACTCCAACAGCCCAGAGCTGCCCCAAGTCCTTTCATTGCTAAATCTGCTCTACCCTAATTTATGCTAATGAGGGGAGCTCTCATCCCATCTCCGAGCTCTTCCATGGCGTGTGTCACCGTCTGGAATGCTCTGCTCGGGATTGGGAATGTTTTCCTGGTGAGCTGGGGCCAGGGGAATGAGCTAGGGGGGATTTTTTTTGTGCTGTTAATTTGAGAGTCGACGGCTTTTTTTGTGCTCTAATCAAGAGGGTTTTGATGCCGTAATTAAAAACGCGGAGTTAATGGGTGTTCCGCGGGATGTAAATTCGCCGGGAAAATCCGGAGTCGAGAGAACTTCGGAGACCAAAGCGCTTTTTGTCTATTGTAATTAGGGGTGTGGTGCTGAAGGAATATTAATTAGCCCCACGGGGGAGGTTGAGGAGCCAGAAAAATGCTGCCTCCGCCCCTAATTCCCGGTGGGAGTTCAGGAGCTGCCGGATGAGCCAAGCCTGGGAGATGGCGAGGAGCAGGGAGACTTGGGAAGGGAAGGAAAGGGTATCCCCATCCTCCTCCTCCCTTAAAAACAAACAAACAAAGGGGATAAAACCCAAACAAATCCAATTTCGGGAGCTGGGTGCGACTTTCTGTGGGAGCTGGGTTTGCCGAAGGAATTTAAATCCGCGGTTCCCCCGGGAATTGTGGTCGTCGGTTTCATTGGAATGGCAAATTTGGGATGATTTGTAGCTGGGAGAGCTGGAGAGGGACTTGGGACAAAGGATGGAGGGACAGGACACAGGGAATGGCTTCCCCCTGGGAAAGGGGAGATTTGGGTGGGATGTTGGAAAATGGGGGCAGATGGTCAAGTTTAGGTGAATTTTTTAAAAAGTCGGATAATTTGCAGCCAATAAATCATAGATTGGGCCAGGTTGGGACCTCAAAAGATCCAAGGTTTTATGGGAATGGAGCAACTGTAGGAAAAGCGCTTCAGACCAGAGCCTTGGAAATTAAAGAAACCAGAAAATCTGAAAAAAACCCTGATTTTTACACCAAAAAAAAGGGCAGGCAGAAAAATCCAGGTGATTGTCCTGGCAATCTGGGGGGTTTTCTGGGAGGAAAAAAATGTGTTGGATGGTTGGAAAATATTCATAAGGAGAGGAAAACAGGCTGGGAGAGCTGGGAATGCCCAGCCTGGAGAAGGGAAGGATCCAGGGAGACCTTGGAGCCTCTTCCCGTGCCTAAAGGGGCTCCAGGAGAGCTGGAGAGGGATTTTGGATAGGGGATGGAGGGACAGGACACAGGGAATTATTTCCCACTGCCAGAGAAGAGGGATATTTGGAATATTGGGAAGGAATTCTTCTCTGTGCGGGGCTGGGAATAAAATTCCCTTTTTTCCCCAAGCTTTCCATTAGCAACTTCGAAAAGGGAATAAATCCTTTCCTCGGAAAAGCTGTGGATATTTCTCTTTTTACCTTAAAGCTAGTCCAGGGAATTCCCAAATCCTACACTCTCCGAAAGGCCGGAATAAGAGATGAGTTTGTTGCTCGTGGCACCCGAGATCCTGGTTTTGGGGTTTTTTTAAAGGAAATACTCATTTCCTTGGCAGCTGCTCCCTGTTTTCCTCAGGGATCTGATTATCCCAGTTTTTCCTCCTGCACCGTCTCTGGAGCCAGTGGGGAGCCATGGAAGGGGACAGGGGGCAGGAGATGTCCCTGATGTCACCACCGTGTCCTCCCTCCGCTTCCCGGCCCGGATCCAAATTTGGCTCCGACATCTCCTCGATCTCCTAAGATTTCAGGAGGAAAACCTCAGGTTTGGGATTGAAACCTCAGGTTTGGGGTCAAAACCTCAGGTTTGGGGTCAAAACCTCAGGTTTCAGGTTCAGAGCCTGGACCACTTGGATTCGAGTTTATATATGGAATTTCCACCTCCAGGGATGGTCATTCCCATTCCAAGGTTTTTCCACAAACATCTCCAGGGATGGTGATTCCCATTCCAAGACATCTCCACATCCTTCTGCTTTCACACCCCAGAGCTGGATGCAGAATTCCAGGTGGGAATTCCAGCAGAGAGGCAGAATTCCCCCCTTTGCCCGCTCTAAAACCTTTTGCATCCCCATTTCAGCCACAGGAGAAACGGGATTGGATAAAATGGGATCGGGATCACCCCACCCCACCCCCTCTCTGCTTTCCAACTATTTCCCTGCCTGACTCAACTAATAAACATCCAGGATTTATGATAATTAATTCCCAACACGCCCTGGAGTTGCGCAGGTGCCCGGAGTGTCGTTCCCTGGGCACTGGGAATTAATTTGGGAGGATTTATTCCATGCCTGGGCTTGACACGGAAGCACTCCGCTCTTCGGCACATTCCCGGGCTTTTTCTGGAATGCTGAGCCACGGAAAGCAGAGCGAAAAGGGAAGTGATTTGCATGTGGCTGCCTAATGAAGCTGTGGAAAATTAGGGATTAAACAGCACTGGGAGAGCTGGAAGTTTACCAGAGATGAGAGTTCCCATGATCCAAAGGCTTCGGGAATTGTTCCCTGGGAGAGGGGATCCCCCTCAAAGGGTTCCAGGAGAGCTGGAAAGGGATTTTGGAAAAGGGATGGAGGGACAGGACACACGGAATGGTTTAAACTCACAGAGGGAATTTGGGATATTGGGAAGGAATTCTTCCCCGGGAAGGTGGTGACGGGCTGGGGTGGAATTCCCAGGGAATTCTGTGGCTGCCCCATCCCTGGAAGTGTCCAAGGCCCGGCTGGACGGGGCTTGGAGCAACCTGGGATAACGGGAAGTGTCCCTGCCCATGGAAAAAGGTGGGCTCGGATCATCTTGCAAGGTCTCTCCCAACCCAAACCATTCCATGATTCCCTAAACTTCACCTCCTGGCTGCAGATTTCACAAATATCCCAAAAAATGAAAAAATATTCAGGGAAATGTCCATGAAATGAGGGGAAACAAGGAAAGGATGTGAACTTCCTAGGATTTCTTTACCAGAGCCTGGAAAAATCCTGTGGGGAAAGGTGCCACTGGGAAATCTTTTCATCTGAGGGAGAAATCTACGACTTGGAGTGTCAAAGTTCAGGATTTCTGCTGGGAAAATCCTTAGGAAATGGAGCTGCCAGCCCGGTTCCCTTCTCCGCCATGCCATTCCACATGTCTTCATTCCATGTTCCCTCTTTTTTCCTATTTCCTTCTTTGTCCAGGATTTTTCCTTGCTTAACATCCTTTATTCCTTGTCTTGTATCCAAAAAAAAAATCGACTTGGGATGATGCAGGATCTTTTTAGGAACTTTAATTTTGGGTCCAGCTTCCAGGTGGGAATTCCAGGCTCACCTGCGTGGCACAACCCTTGCTGTTAGGATTTGGGATTCTCCTGATAAAATACTGGAATTTAATGGGGCCGTGAAGAATCCAGCTTGATTTTCCAGCTTGTTTTCCCGTCATTCCAACAGCAAAGTTGGATTGATGCCGGATCAATCTCGGATGCGCATCCCTTGGGATGCAACCTGAGGAAAACCCGGAAGGGAGGTGCAGGAGGAGCTTGGGAATGACTCAGGAAAAGCTGCAATGGATGGAGGGAAGGAGGAGCTGGCCAACCTCCCCTCCATGTGCTCCAAGATCCTGATGAAAACACCGGAGCATCTTCCAGACGGATCCAGGGATGGAGCGCAGCCACTCCGTCTATCCCTGGAAAAACAAAAAAAAAAAATCCGGAATTCATCCACAGCTTGTTCAGCTCCTTATCCCGAGCTAAAAAAAACCCCTCAGGGTCACTTCTCCCATTTTGTTGGCGAGCTGGGAATGTCGGGAAGAGTTTTTGGGGGATTGGAGGAGCGCCTGGCGTTCCTGCACGTTCCCACCGCAGGAGGTTGGGGGGTATCCCGGAGAAAAACCAGGAATCCGAGCAGAATCGGCGCTATCGGAGCCCTCGATCTGGCTCATTTGAGGAAAATGGGTTATTAAGTGGATTTCGGTAATTAAAAGCCGTTACCAATTAAGAGCTGATAACGAGTCCTGCCACGGGGCCCGGCCTT